GCTGAACCTGGGGACTGGAATTACCTTGATATAAGAGACATCATCTAAAAAGCAGAATACATGAATTGCGTGGCAGCACTAGTAAAGGGAGATTTCCTTCTGCTCTTTCTCAAGGTGTATCTCGAGAAAAAAATATGTTCTACTCAAAATGTTTACTTGTATGTCATCTCTTGGATAAAGCTGGCCTTGAATTAGTTTAGGGAATGCTAATCATAATTCATAAGAAAGGATTAAATTAAGACAAAGTCCAGGATATTAGCTCAAGTAAATTTTGTTCCTTTAAATCATTGACACTGTGTGAACTTTACAGTAGCTGCAGGTGTGATCTGAGGTATGCTTTATTCTATTTATTTATGTATTTATTTATTTAAGTTACAAAGAACCCTGAAACCAAGGAACTTCACACCTGCTGGTCTGGGCACCAGCTCCTCAGAGTTCTGGGGGTGGGGAAGGTGTTGCAATGGTCAGTTAATTGAGTTCCCTATTCCTGAACCACCCCAGCTCTTTGTTTCCTTCAAACCGGTCTGATGTGCAGTCAGAGTTCAGATATTTTTAGTTGTACGTGTGTGGGAAGATGTTTGATAGGTGCATTGCAAGGGCACAATTCTTGAAGTTTATTCCTTTTTCAAACACCCTTTAGAAAAGCAACAGCGGTGTGGATCCAGCTAATTCCTAGCAAAAGTCCATGACAGTCTGTGTCATCAGTTCCCAAAATGGCCACTAATCTTGAGGAAATAAGTTGTTTATTATATCCATTGGTATTAAGATCATGGCTTACTGATTTAAGGCCCAAATTTTAGGACCTTTCTGCATCTGTTTATGTATTTGCAAATGACTATAATAATAAATGACTATCAATTGCTGTGTCACCTTATGTAGTCTTAAATTCATCCAGTATAAATCTTCGAGTGAGAGATTTGTGAAGAAACAACATGAACGCGGGCAGAATGCACATCAAGTATTTAGAGTGTTTTGGCTACTGCTTGGAAACTTGTGGAAATTGGGAGGTAACTTGTGGCTAAATTATTGCTGGTGGTTTGCCTCGAAACCATTTATAATCCAAGCATTTCAGTCCTTTGTTATCACCAATTAGAATAAATCAGTATTTCAGTTCTCAGAATCTGGCTTTGTGTCATTATACCAGTTGATGTAAAGTTTTGGCTGGAGCATGACCACGGAATTGCCCTAAAAACTTTAATTAACCACCATCAAAATAAATGTGCTGCTACATCCTGTGCTGCCAGTAGTTACTGTTTGTTCGGTGTTTAGCCGACGCTTGACGCTGAGTCACCAGGTAATCGGTATGTTCTGTGCGTGGGAGCAGGATGACACTAAAACGGCCCTGCAGAAGTTGAGAGTCCTTCTGAGGGAAACTCTGCATTCCCAGCTGGACTGTGACAAGCACAGGGCTGACTCCAAAATGAAGAGAATTTGCCATTACGTGAGCTACCTAAAATTTTAGTGGTATGAAGCCCCCAGAATTGTGACCAGTCAATGGCATTTGTAATGCCCCAAATCAGAAATCTGTTGGGGATTGATTTTTATCTGGACAAATTGAATGCAAACCTATTGGACTAGGCTGGAAGAAAAGCCCTTCTCCAGTGGCATGTTGGGAATAAACCACTTGGGCCCTGGTCAGTTCCTCGTGATTGATGTTTACCAGTTCAGCGATGTTTTACTGTAAAATATATCATATGATTGCGAGTTTTATCAAATTTCTCTTTTTGTTTGACGTGCTCCCATTTTCTTCCCTGCTTTTCAGGAGTTCTTGTGCTGACGTTCTTTGTGAACAGATTCCACGTGAACACCATCACCAGCAAAGACCAATTCATTATAGCGTACGGGGGTCTCCGAGGAGCCATTTGTTTCTCTCTAGTTTTCTTGCTTCCTGACTTTCACAGAAAGAAGCTCTTCATTGCAGCAACAACTGTTGTCATCCTCTTCACCGTGTTCGTACAGGTAAACCCACGCTCAGTACAAAAGCATATATCGTCACCAGGTGTAGCAGGCGTGATGTTTTTCCAGGCAAATAACCAGTACTAAACCATTAGATGGATACAAGGATTTACAAGTCATTAAGGCTTTCCCTCCATCGAGTGGTTAGGCATGTAAAAATTTAAAATACTGCTGATAGACACAGAAGGTGTGTGAATGTGTCACACGTTCTTGAGCTTGACCAGCAGTTGTTGACTTACAACACATGCTGTAGCATTTTCCATGGTAAATTGTCTCATCTTTGGACCATCCTTATTGGGGTAGCAGAGGTGGAAATCGTGAAGAATGATGCTGGCATAGGTATTGTCTCCGAAGTAGTGCTGCTATGTGTTTTATGTGAGGGCAAAGCCAACAGGAATCAACCTCTACAACCAGGCTGCTGTCTGAGCAAGGTAACAACCACTTGTTATTGTAGGCCGTGTCACGTCATGACATGACCTGAGCCAGGCAGTAACAAAGGTCAGTTTTCCTGATCCCAAAGGTGAGAAGATGGAAGGTACTGGAGAAGCTCCAAACCTTCTGAATGTGGGCAGCAAGAGTTTCAAAAGGGGTTTATGGCTTGGTCATCTCAGTTTTGGTCATTCACAAGTGGGACAAATTAAAGGGACCTAATTTTAAAGAGGTGGTTTTTAACGTTTTCTGAGGATGAGTTCCATTTTACTGGAGCATCCGACAGCTGAAGTCATCAACTGTTTATCAAAACATTTGGTATGTCTGTCTGAGGTGTTTTAACATTCATGCAGCAAAGCAGCTGCAGTTATTTTATGGCGATGCAGCAGGAAGGGGATTATTTTAACTCTTACACTTGGAAAAAAAAAAAAAAAGATGTGTTACTCATTATAAAAGCAAGGAAAATCAGAAGATTTTAATCAAATAAAAACCTCACAGCACATCTGATTTATTTGCCACTAGTTTTTCTTTTGCAACTGATGCCTAAGCCCTGTTGCTTCCTGCTTGCTCCTTCTGCCCTCGTGATTCTTGGGTTGTTTCCCACCCAGTGGGAAAGCTGCTGCAAGTGGGTGCAAGCTGCCCGCATCACGGGTGGCTGTGGGCACGGCAGTACGGGAGAGGAGGTGGACCCTCACACCCCCACAGCACTGAGATATTTGGGTTATTGTTTAAAGCATGAATGTACTTTTTTTTTTTTCCCTTTGCAAAGGTAGATTTCTGCTGTGTTTTTTGCAAAGCTGAATCCTGCGGGAAGGCTTGCAGGAGCATCTGCAGCTTGGGCTGCTCCTGGGGGGCACATGGGAGGTGC